GTAAGAGTGCTTGGGTCTACGTGGGTATGGCCATCCGGCTTGCACAGGCCATGGGCCTGCCCTTTGAACTTGAGAATGAATTCCCAGCGCGAGATCCTTCACGCTCGTCCCCGGGCTTCAAAACCGAGATGGATCATTTTGGTCTGCCACGGCGTGTAGAGTTCAGGGAGCCGACATCTGATGATATCATTGCGCAAGAGACCAAACGCCGGACATTTTGGGCCTGTTTTATCCTCGACCGATGCCTCAGCAGTGGAAAGTACCGGCCTCGGATGGTCCGAGTTAAGGAACTCGGAATTCAGCTTCCGAGTGACAATGCTTTTGCTTTCGGCGAGCGGGTTCGAACGGCCCGACTTAACGAACCGACCGTTCGGCGTCCGCAGAGCTTTGGTTCCCAAAGCATGCAAATCCCCAGCATCCGTCAAAGTATAGGAGGCTTTGGCGAAGAAAATATTTCAGGACCCAATGGGACTCCAGATAACAAGCCCTGGTCACCTATCTCTCGCCGTAAGGATTCGAGCGAGGAGGAGGTTGATCGATGGGAGGTTGGCGCCGAGGAGTCGGTCCTCAGCCGAGTTATTCGCATCATTCGTATCTGGGGAAGCATCGCCAAGTGGTCTTGCGCCGGCGGTCGACGCACGGAGCAATATCCCCCTTGGCATCCTGAATCTCGCTTCGCCTCGCTCCGTCTGCAGTTGAACGAGTTCCAGGATAGTCTGTCTCGCAACCTGCAATACTCCTCGCGAAATACCGACACGCATATCATGTACAAGACCACTCTGGCTTCATATACCGTGATGCATGTTGTCTACTTCCTATCAGTGATTGTCCTTCACCGTGCCTATATCCCATTCCTACCTATCCGCTGCAACGAGCCTTCTGGCCCCCTAGATGAGCCATTGTTCGCTGTCGATAAGGTCAATGGCCCACCTGACGGTTTCTGGCGGGATAGTGCTCGTGAACTCTTCAAGGCAGCGCGTCAGATGATCGACCTTGTGGCCACCTGCCAAGCCCGCGGTGCTCTTGCTGAGAACCCGTTGGTCGGATTTGCCATCTACAATGCCGCCTTTGTCGGTGTTTATGGAACACATTTCCCACACATGGATCCGGATGGATTGATGGGAACGAAACCGCCCCCTGCGAGCCATGATAGCCACCAGCTCGGTGTCGCACAAGCACGCAAGGCCTTGGATATCATCCGAGAGATGCGTCCTCGTCTGAAGATGGCGATGGGTTGGTTCCGCACTCTGAACCGCCTTCACAGCTACTTCTCCAAAGTCAAGCGTGATTTCCGCCGGGTTTCACGGAATCGCCTGGATAGCATGTCGGATGCCTCTGACTATGGCCTCAATGGGATTCGTCCCCTTCGCGAAGGCGGTGGTGGTGGTGGCCTCGAGGAATTCAAGTTGCTCGAAAAGCTTTTCCTCGACTTTGGAAGCATCGAGGACCAGTTGACAGAGCCTGGGATGGACGATGACGGTATTGCAGTGCCCGCAGCAAGCGAGTCTATGTACGAGCGCACAAACATGAGTGACGCTGGAAGCAACGCCGTCAGGAGTGAAACCGGTGATCCCGGTGACCAGATGCTAGACGGTGCCGGTGGTCGTCGCGAGTCGTGGGTTCCGGTCAACAGCCCCGGTTTGTCGCTACCTGGACACGAAGGCGATCGGCGTCCCAGCCTACCACTTCCCAACAGCCGCCAAATGCCATCTGGATCCCCGTACTCTCTCCCATCTCTCCAGCAGCATCACCCAGACGGCCCAATGTATACCACCTCATCTCCCAGTTTCCCCTCTCTATCTGCAACTACACAGTCTCCCTCCCAGTATTTGACGGCAACAAGCAACCGCCTGAATCCCATCAACACCTGGCTCCCGGCCCGCCCACAGGTCCCTCCCCCGCCGTACTCTCAATCCCTCCCTCCCATCAACGCAGCCGCCTCACACACCATCCCTGTTCTCCCCCCACCAGGATCCGTCACCCAATTGGCCCCCTCCCCGCCATTGACCTCAACCGAATTCCCAGACTCAAACTTGCTATCAACGAGTCTCGGCGGGGACGACGTCCTCGCCTTCCTAGATGGGTCTGAATGTGGTCAGCTGTCCATGCTCGCGCCTTCTGAGATTGGTATTCCCACTGGCTGGTTGAGTACAGTGTGGTCCCAATTCAGCCGCTAGAGTTCCCACCAGAGAGCCATTATCTCTGTCGCACCTCTTCAGCCGACATCCATCGAAGCAATGGCACCAATCGCCGTGCTTCATTGTATTATTACTCTTTACGACTTATCTCGTCCGTTACGTCTTACGTACTGTACGATCATCTCTTTATCTATCTCTTTTATCTATGATCGCCGGCGATTCAAAAATTGGGACATCCAAGCCTGCAGAAAATCCCCCGAGTACCCAAAGGCAGGCGAATTGAACTCCAAATCCAATCATTTCCTTTCCTGGTCTAGCTACCAGATCGGGAATCGAAAACGGGATCACGAAGATTGATTACCACCTATACCCAGTGCGCGCGACCTCATCTTTGTCCTTTTTTTGTTATTCTTGATATTGTTTACTTGCAACATGTTTTTTTTTGGTTTGGATTATGCTGTTCAAAATGCGCGCAAGGCGTTGCTCGAGGTTTCCAGCCAAGGTGGCCGTGAAACCCGGGTTTGATTATTTATTTACCATCAAATGGGTTTCATTTTCTCTCTATTGGTTTTTGGTTTGTTTCGAGCGAAATTTGGGATGGCACGGAAACCTGGCAGCGTGCCCGGGTTTTTCGACTTTGATCTATTTTCTCCGTGTCGGTTCTTATGTTTTTATGTATCCTCTTCCAACCTGTTAAATGTCGAGGTATGGTTTTTTGGAGATGCGTTACGATAGCCTAGGCGTTGAACTTGCCTACCTTGCACACTGCAATTCTCTTGGGTCAATTTATCTGCCTTTATGGCTGTTTTTTTTTTTAATTCTTCATTTGGGTTCTTTTCAACGTAGAACTAATCCGACTACTTTGTAGACGTCACTGCTGTAGCCCCGAGCAAATACCGACAGATACTAGTATCCACATGTGCAGTTGTCGGTTAACTATGTGCGGACCGCGGATGCTTCGGGTACTCCACGAGGGTTGCGGCTAAATGCTTTTCACTCGGAGAAGGGGGATAAATTTATTAGACGGATGTCATATTAACATCTTGAAATATGCGCCAAGTTTTAAATGGTAGACCTTGTATGGCTGTTGCTGGACTATGTGCTAATTCCCGAGGTCAAATTTTTAATATCAAATACACGTCATACATCGTCATTGTTAAGGATATAAAATTAGCTAGCCGACTATTTTCAAAAGTTATATATAGATGTCTTTTGCACAGTGTCACGGGACGGTCCATATGACCGTCATTGACCGCCCTGACCTTATGTATCATCATTAGCTAGCTGATAGGAAATATCATCCTTTTTGCAATTCCCACAACACATAGTATGCCATTCTTTTTACCACCTTTATATACAGTTAAAAGATACATATAAAACGACCACTAAAAAGATATCACAAGGCAGCATAAGCCGCCGACTATTCTTGTTATACCATAAATCACCAACACCTCCCTCTCCCCACCTACTTTCTAGAGCAAAATAGATTGAATCCAACAAAAACAAAACCAAAAACATACAACAGCATGTGTAAGGTCGTGGTCACCTAGCGCCCACGGTTCGGGCATGGGCGGCTCGCCGCTCTAATTCAGCCCTCCTTAGGGCACTACGGGCAGATATTCACCCACCTGAATATTCTTCACCCGAATATTCAGCCCGTGCAGCAAAAGGTACATTTTCTCATTCTAATCGAAAAAGTTGTAAGTGAACTTCGTTTTTCCTCCGCTTTTATCTCTCTAGCCTCGCTTTATCACTCCAACCTCGCTTTATCACGAGTAAGATACGTACTAAGCATGATCTAACGTTGAAATATATAGCTAATATTATGGATTTCGGGGAGTATAGTAATAATAAAATCTAGCGTATAGTACTACTACGAATAGAAACTAGTTATAGGGATAAGTTACTAATTTTCGATAAGTAAGTCTTAGCCCTAGGAGTAGAGAAGTAAATCGCTTAATTATATCTATATCCCTAGATTTATTAAATTATATCCTTAGGCCGTTATTCTACTAGATATTAGAATATATAGGGCTTTTCTCGAGTAGGTTATAAGAGTAATATACGGTTGGATCGAAGAACGGCCTATAGTCGAGACGATTTAGGGATTTTTTAGGCAATTCGCTACTAGTATAAAGAGAGAAAGAAACTTCGAATTCCTACTAGCTACTAGGACTACGATTAATAAGGTCTATACTAGTATTCTTTTTAAATAAATTAGGGCTAATACTAGATAATATATTATAGGAGAACTAAAGATTATAATCCCTCTTTTAACCGAGGAAATAAATAAAGATAGCGGTATATCTCTAAATAATTTAACTATCTTAATAACTTAATTATAGTATCGAGACTACTATAAGTATCGTAGAAACTCTACCGATCGGGCCTAAGTTTAGCTAAGTGCTATAATACTCCTATATTACTTTATCTCTATACGTATAGGGGAGGTTTATAAATCAACCGCTTAGATATATAGAGCCTAGAAGATCGGGGAGGATAGTAAGGATACTAAATTAGAAGCCTATATAATAGCTACCTATTATAAGATATATCTAGAAAAGGAAAAATAAGTAGTATTTAAAGCTAACTATATTAGTATTTCGAACTTACTATAGAGACTATAGATAGTATAATAATACTTATACTTACCTATAAGCGTAAATTTATTAAAGGATATTAGCGAAAGAAAAAATAGGCGATTCTTAAGTATATATTTTATAAAGTATACGCTAAGGATATACCTATATTTCTAAATCTTTTAATATTCTTTTTACTAATAGCTACTATAGATAACGCTTTATAGATTATAATTTAGTAAGTAAAATCCTAGATACTATTAAAATATATAAGTAAGTTAGTCCTTCGGAGGATAAGATCCTTAAGGTAATTTATATATAGTAAGTAATAAAAGATCTACTAGTTTTTCGCTAATATCTTAAGTATAATATAGACAATTTTAAAGGCTATACTAGGGGAGCGGATTCTTTCGGAAAGACCTTAGTTAATCTAGGTTATAGAAGTAGCTATACGCTAAATATTACTATTCGGGCGTATTAAAGATAGGCTTTATAGTAAGTAGATACGGATTTATTTTAAGTATAGGCTTATAAGATAGCTAATAATAAAATAGATAAAACGTATTCTAAGTCTATAAGAATAAAGTTCGCTAGGTAAACTAACTAGGATATATATAGAAGGTTATATACGTATCCTTTTAATAAGATTAATAGACTAGTAAACTATCTTAGAATTACTAGTAGATAAGAGTATATTTAGAATCGTCGGGGAATAAATCTTTACTATAATTCCTCTTTATTATAGCTCCTTTTTATAAAAGCTAAGTATAAATTTCTTACCTAAGAGGATATTTATACTCTCGACTAAATTATAGTAAAGTTAAGTTTACTACTCCTAAACGCTATAATAGAAGAAAAATATAAAATTTAACTAAAATAGAAGAAGGTATATAATAAGAAATAGAGCCTTTATAATAAAGAGCTCTAAAAGGTCTAAGCGTAATTAAAGAGATAATATAGAAGTATTTATACTAAAACTATATTCTACTATAGGAGAAAGGTAATATTTTATAAAGACTTTTTAGCTAATATATTATCTTATAAGCTTAGCCTCCGGAGTATAGATAGAAGAAGAACCCTATAGGCGTTAAAGTCTCTCTATAGCGAGATAGATACGATTTTATACCGCGATAGCCTTAGCCCTCTAGGCTAGGCCTATCTCTATAGAAGGTCTATCGAAGAGTATATCGTACTTTAATAGGAAGATATAACTTTACTATTACTAACTTAAAATAGATTTAAGGATTACTAAAAATAGTTATATCTCTACCGTTACTACTTAAGGTATTATAAATCTACCTACGGATTTATATAAATATACTTTAAATACAACCTATAAGAATAGAAGAATTATTACTAGGAATATCTGCAAGTAGAATTTCAGGTGGATTCAGTTATGCATTGCAGATCAACCGCAAATGAATGGTCATTATTGACTAGTGGTGCCGATCTCCACTTGGTAGACCTGTGCGAGATGTAATAGATTTATTTGTTTAACTTCCAATAGGAAAAACTGGGAGCAGAGTCCAACCAGGATGAATGGAATACATTGGTGCAGCATGTTCTCACCATGCTGTTACTCGGGGAGCACAGTGGGATCCAATCTTACCACTTGAATAGAAGTGCGCATTAACCCTTCAAACACGAAGCAATCTAGGTTCTCTTTCATACTAGTCTGCATAGAGTCAAGTGTCTTCTGGGTTTCCGTTGTTCCAGCTGCTCCTGGAGAGGAGATTTCTGCCAAATGTTGTATGCTTTGTTTTGTTGGGCTTTGCGCATATGGAATCGGGCCTACACTCCGGCAACTCGGGTTGTTCGTCGCGAATGACAAGTTCCATTTACGATCGCAAAATTATGGTCTAGCAATTGAATCAGCTTGCTTGTTGTGAAAGGGTGAGCGTCTTAACTATATCTACGCCATCCACTGTATGCGATAAACTGGTTGAATGACTTTGCAGTGTTTGCATCCAAGCAACTCTGATTCGAGAATGAAGGCTGAACCTTGTTAGTCCCCATATCAATTATACACTTGGTCTTCACATGAGTGGGATCCGCTTTGCCTGGAACCGACAACCGGTTTGGTTGTGGGGGAAGGCGCTGTGAAGGCTGTGGTTACGATGGCTACAAGCCGTGAGCTAACCTGGCTTCCGATATGAACTGTACTAACCAGTTTTATAGATCATGGAACCGTGGCACTCTCCACAACAAATTGTCTTCAAGGGATCGAAACATCCTGCGCCGGCGATGGAGATCGCCCCGGTGACGTCGAGCCGACAACACCTATCTGTTCGCAGTCAATTGGCGGCATTTTAAGCAACCGGGATACCATTCCAGAGCTCCTGGGGAATTCTTCTTGTCATATGAGAGCATACTTTCATATTACCCCCATCGAGTAAGTCCCTGATGCACAATCTCCGGTAGCATCGGAAGCAGTGGTTGAGGACTCAAGTTCGCACTTGCTGAGAGCCTCTCAATCCATTCTTCATGTGGCACACTATCTTGTTTGATATGGATCATTCATTGCGGCCAATGTTGCGCTCTGAAGATTTGATGGGTGCATCGGGTCCAATCGTGAAGCAACCTTCAGCCGCAGGTGTATTTGCGAGACTTCCGGAGTTATGTACAAAATGACAACACTCCGTTCTAGGTGTATGAATAACAATATGTATGTCTCCTCGGATCCATAGCCTCGCCGACTGGTCGGGGTCGGTCCAGGATTCCAAATTCCATCATCATATCTGGCGTAACTGGCGTTCCCCATGGCGGGTTGGTGATAGTATTCGTTCCGTTGAGGGCAAACCGGCGGTTGTGTTCATCCATGGCCTGCCATGTAGCCCACAGACGATCGACCATTGAGTGGTGGAGCATGAATGCTGGGTCTTGCGGCGACACAAAACTATCTTCTAGAGTGGCCCCAATGCTAAAATGGCCGCCGCCGTGGGCACCCAGCACCCCGTCAGAGCTTGGCGGCCAACGTTCCATCGTGGTTTGAAAATCAACAATATCAGTCGAATTTAGCAGTCTATGGACGATTGTTTCATTCGTATAGTGGCTGCTGATGAAGTTGTTCAAGCTCCGGTTTAAGCAGCGTGGGTTATAGTCGAACGCGGGCGCCGGGATCTCAGTGAGCGAGGTGAGATGTGAGGAAAATGGTCCCATATGGATATCCATGTCTTTGAAAGGGCCGCACCGAACACATCCGCCGCCAGTACCTCGAGGGAGAGTTACTCCACCAGCCTGTATGTTTTGTTGCCCGGCATCGTATTCTCCGTCGCCAGAAAGGGAGCTGTCACTGCAGTCGAAGAGAGGGCTCGCAGCTAGATTGTTTGCCCAGATCGGCCAATTCCAGTACCTGTCACTTGTTATTCCTGATCTTAAAAACTAACGACTAAGCCTTACGGAAGCTGTCCAGTAAATCCACACTCATCTCTTAAGGCTGTTTCCCAAAGCCAGATGAAATGCCGGTGCCAAGGTAGAAACAGACCAGTCAAATGGGTGTGGAGGGTGTAGTTGAGGTGGGTACTAATTTATTTTCGTGAGACCCTCAGCATCAATTAGATAGGATAAGAGGTTATTTACGACATACGCCACAAAGTCGTCAAATCGGTTGCGAACTCCTGGAAACTCTCCCCTAGGAAGCTGCTGTGGTTGCCATTGCATGCATCGAACCGCGTCAGTATATTCGATTCTCTCAGCCGGCGTCAACTCTCCCCTGGAAAATGGGTCAATTGAATCAAATCGGCCGTGCAAAATGAGTAAACCACATACCATTCCTTACGGAAAACCTCATTCTTTGCTTCACAGCACCTTCGCGCTGGGAATGAGGGGACAAATGAAGTAAACATTCCCAGTACAAAGACTAACCAGGATTCAATAAAAGACGCCGTCATGAACATCATGTTGAGCGCTTATAAACAATGCGTCACTGAGTTTTGATCGCTGCACTAGGGATATCTTTTTCGATGTTCATCGGTTATAACCAACGGGGCTCGAAGTCAGATTATGAAATATCTTGCATGATGTAACGCTGGAAGTAAATAGATCACTTGAGTTGTGGGAGCGGGCTAAACCTCCTTGCGTCGATCGGGTGGATCGAGGCAATATGGATGAGAAATTACCGATGACCACGGCCGACAATGATAATAATATCAGTAGTTTCAGAACACATTCCACATACATCTCAACTATTACTTTATATAGAGAAATACTTCTCTATATTTAGAAGGTAGGACATATTGAAAAAGAAATTATATATAACTGCGTAATACATCTACCTAGTTACATACTTCGAGAACAAAGGTCGGACGTTAGGGATCAAGCAGTCAATAATTGGAAGTTGTCATTATGCAAGATTTCTGTCTTCACACCTCTCTGGGCAATATAGTTATGTATTCTATGGTTCAGCAATCTTGGTAGTATATATTTATATACAGGATGATTTCTCGCAGGGGGTACATTCAACCTCTTCGCTCCCTGAGCCTGAGCGAAGCCGAAATGAGACTTCTCCATAGACCTGGGATGGGAAGGTATATGGAACTGCATGTGAATTGGATCCAGTTCCCTCAACTAGTTGGAGGTTGCACGGTCTGTAATACATGCACATCACTTAGCGACAAGTAGACGAAGTCATATGCTTCCATACCGACATATGTACATGCTGCGTTCAGCTCTGCTTCCTTCAGGATCGGTTTTGCATCCGATATTTTGTTGATATTTCCACTTCGCCTCGGCTGTTTTCCTTAGCTAGTCCGCGGACTGGCATAACCCGTGCTGTGTGCTGGAACAAGTAGCGCATATTTATTCCCTGATCTTATTAGCAAATATTGCGTGGGTGACGACCAACTAATGGGAGGGTTTGTTTGAATTCAAAACTTTTTCACAGAAATTTCATTCAGCAACGTATCGCTTGAAACCTCTGGTAAGCATTCTTACGCTTGCCTCAATAGATCGGTAAATGATATATGGTATGATAAATAGCGAAACGAATCGTATATTACCTATCATGGGACCACAGTATTCGTCTATATCTGATAGACAAAATGATAAATGCAATACCAAAACAAAAAAGGTTAGAATATACTGTCGTAGGATTGATTGTGTGTCACAATCAGTAACATGTATGCAGGTTTGAGGACAATGCATGAGAAGTGCATACCAGGATGACAGAGAATTACTAGTGACACGCTCTGTCACACGCAGGTGCCCTAAGACGATAAAAGGGACACAACATGTGCCGTACACTAGGTGCGTTGAAGAGAACCATTTCGGTCAGATTCGGTCCGAAAGGATTAGAGAAAGTGGAAAGGGTGCCAATGCACAGGAGTGCATAAGCATGAGCAACCAACCAGAAAGCTAAAAGACGGGGGACAGGATCCACACCTATGCAAATTTCTGCACCAGAAAAGGGAAGACAAATAGCCAAGAGGGAGTGAACTTGAACACAGCCAATATTTGCGGGAGACTCGCGGCCGAATGCAAGCCCCTGCACCCATAATACAACTTGTCCAAAGCCAGTGGGGAATGCACCTGCTTGCCAGAGGGGCTAAAAACACCGTACGGAAAACGTGGGAGGTGTAATTTTAGCTACACTTATTTTTAGCGGATTTCTAATTCTTACTCTCCCAAGCCTACGGTCGAAGCGGGCGGGGTCGACCATAGTGCAATGAGTAGTCAGCTTCTACTGTATTGACTCAGTTTATGTATGTTGGTAATTTCAATAATATTACTCGAATATTTGGCCTGGCAATAATCTGCCGCAGTTTTTGCTTTTTTTTCTTTTCTTTTTTATCTTCTTCTTCTACCTGCTATTTTCTTCCAACCTACATCCGGTGATAGCCCATCAGCTATTATATAGCATCCTTGGTCTCAAAGTTATTACACCGTCCCATTTAACCCCCCACGCCTCACAGCAATGGAGACAGGGTGTTACTCATTGGCAGAATTGCTGGCCGTCGCTAAGACTCATCCCTTTTACAACACTGATATCGAGTACCCCGCCGATGCAGTTACGATCCAGAAACTTCGGGAGTTGGTCATTGACCAGAAAACGCAACCCAATATCCAACGGCAGCCATTGCTTGACAAGAGAACATTGTAAGACAGTGTCGGTAGTTTGAATACTGCTGTCGGAATTGAAAACAAACTCCCATCCAACACAATCTTATTGAACCGGAACTGTACTTTAACGGGCCTAAGATACTTTCTTTTAGCGAATGTACAGGCTGTCTCGATCGTCTGATTATATACTTGGATCAATGGGCTTGTGCCTCCGCTAACTAAAAGTATTTTAGTAATCTTGGAGTACGGTTCAGGATAAAAGTTGTGGATGTATTTGAAGAGTTTATTTTTAACCCCGACAGTACTTCGCTGCAGTTGTGCTAACCTACTTCAGGTACAAAATAATTAAACGGCTTACGCATGACGTGAGCCCGCGGAATACCTATCGTCAGAGTTCCTACATGAGCATCACTGGCGGGGGCTCTGGCGGGGTTCCCATGATGTTCGCCGTAGATGTGCACGAAAATCGGAGACAGAGGGCTCAAATGGGAAATTTTCTCAAACTGTGCGGTGTCATTGAGCCTGGAGATTGGGTTTTGTCCATTCATTTGGCGGGAGGATTTTACAGGTACTTGAATCTAAGCTTCCAACGAAAGGTGACACATCTCCTAATCGATTGATGATAAGGTCCCTGGATCTCACAACGGAAATCATGGAAAATGCGGGAGCCACCGTTCTCAGCGCCGGAAGCTACATGCCGCCCGCGGAGATTACTAAAGCTCTAGTCGACTACCATGTCAACGTGCTCACCGGGGACGGCAGTCAGGTTGTGCAAGCTGTCTATCATGTCTCCATGATGGCGCAGGAGGATCGCGAATGCATCAGACTCAACAAAATTATTTATACGTCAGAGCCTCTAACCGGTCCCCAGAGAGCGTTTATCAAAGCCATTCTGGGTGACGTTAAAATCTTCTCCGTCATGGGGAGCGCGGAAGCGGGCCCTTGGGCCATTAGCAGCCCTGACCTAACGGGAGAGGAGAGTCTTACCAGTAGCAGCACCGACTTCATTGTTGACACACGAAACACCCTGCTCGAGATCGTTTCTCCCTCCGTCATAGATGGTGCATATTCTGATTCGGATCCACCTTCTTACGGAGAACCGGGCCTCATTGTGCTGACATCTCTTCAACGACTGCGCAATCCGCTGGTACGCTACATCACTGGTGATATTGGATCCATCCATCCGCTCCCAGATACGGCCTTTCCTTTAATTCCAGAGACAGATAGGCAGCATCTGTGTGTGTTGCGCATGCAAGGTCGCGACCACCGCTTTAGCTTCAAGTGGTATGGCGCTTATTTCGAGTTCGAGATGATTGACGCCTTTATGCGAGCAAGAGAACACGGAATTCTGCAGTGGCAAATCATATTAGCCCGACTTGAGACAACGCCGCAGTCGACTCTGGAAATTCGTTTGCTTCGATCCCCTCCGCGGGACGAAGTCCTGTCTGTTGACGCTCTTACAGAACGCTTGCAGGCTTTCTTTCTTATCTTTCCTGAGAATGACCATCTGTCACGAATTGTGTTTCTGGATAGTCTCGAAGGATTCGAGCGGAGCATTACCGCCGGAAAAGTGATCAAATTTGTGGACCGTTGGAATAAGTAGTTTGATATTCATGTGTTATAGTACTCTTCTCTCCAGCACTAAGGGTATCTTAAAAAGATCCAAGTACAGCTATGTAACAAAAACGACTAAGAAAATGTGAAAATTGAAACAATAATAATAACCAAATTATAATATCCTGTCCCGCGAAGTATACATATTACTACCACTGTAAGGGCTGGGGTCACCTAGCCGGTTTTGAAGCGTATTGCCAATAACAGGCGTCAGGAAACTGTATATGAATGCCTATATTGGCGGTTAGTAAAGGGATTTTAGTATTAAAAACGACAACAGGGTTACACAGACCAGCAAACAAAACGATTGTGACGGTTGAGAGGACGAATCATTTGGAGGAACACCGTCCTTAGCCTAAGACCTCACTGTTCTCGTAGAAGTGGTAAATGGAGAAATGAAAAGACTGTTTAGAAGTCGGACCAGAGAGTCAGGAACGGCACGAAAACCTAACCAGAGCAACCTATATGGCTTAGAATGCGATATTCCTGAACGGTCCTAACTTCCGGAAATCGACCCTTACGTGGAAGTCGATCACTGATGTATCTTCTGTGTTTGGTTTCTGCGCTTTCCATTACGTTCTGTATTTACAAGTGAACTTCAAATATTCAGCCACATCTCCACAATGGGATCATTTCCTTGATATGATCCCGCATCACAAGATGGACGCACATCGTTTGCCGTGTTGTGATGAGTCAAAACAGTCAATCCACCCTCGGGGCAAATCGCTGCGTACTCTACCGCTACTGCAAATCTAATGATGTGGGCCTTTCACCCCCTTTTTCTCTGTCAAATATAATGTGCGGTCTAAGCAGGTCTGTACGGGCCCGCAGCTGTAGTACAGTACATTGAAGGGGATTTAACTGGTCTTCTCAGGTGTTGCATCGCCGGAGGGGGCTGAGAACAGCCTTTTTAGCGCGTTAGTTAAAAGCGGACTACTGCTTCTACCATGGCTTCATCGCAACTTTGCTATATACAGTAGGTGTTATCAGAGGAAAATGCATCGAACTTTCCGTGCCATTCATACGACTAGAGCGGTGAATGCTCGATATCTTACCCAGTCTACCAGTATGTTTCATCTTGTGGTTCCCTATGTTGGTTTAATTTGTGTTTGGATAGTACTGACCGCACCAAGCCCGTCTAAGAACCTCCAATCTCATCCCACTGATCGAGGTTGCCGAGCCAGACTTTGCCTCTAAGGCTTCTCACTTGAGAGCCATCTATGGGGCTCTCGAGTCCAAAGGGGTGCTTCAATTGCAACTGGGTTTTTCCGATGAGAAAAGCATGTATCTGCGGAGCCTTGTCTTTAACCTCCACCAAAACCACGGCCACGGTCTCCCGATAACCCACAGTGCCGAACGGGGCTGGTTTTGGGATGTTCGGCCCTCTCCAGCAAGTTCTCTAAGCCATGGACACCAAGCTCGATCAGAGACAATTTTCTGTTTTGACTGGCATACCGACTGCAGCTATGAGGAGCATCCGCCTCGGTATTTTGCTCTTCAAGTCCTTCAGCCGGACCGCTGCGGAGGTGGAACGTTGTCGGTGCTGAACGTCGATCGACTCCTCACCTTGCTTTCTCCTTTTGCACAAAAGTGGCTCTCCAGCCATAACTACAAAATCGCTGTCCCTCCTGAGTTTATGAAGAACGTAGGAGAACAGCATATTGTGGGCAATCTACTGGCACTAAAACCAGGGGGAAAACCTGGAAGTCAATTACGGTTCCGGGGAGATATCATGACCCCTTTGACTCTGAATGCTACCAAGGCACTGGATGAACTAAAGGATATTCTGTATAGAGATGGAACTCAAGCAGAGTCTCTCCATCTAACACCCCAGAGCCTTCCCAAAGGATCAATCATCATGATGGATAATCGACGATGGCTACATTCACGCAATGAAGTCAAAGACCCCAACCGGCATCTTCGGCGAGTCCGATGGGATGCAAGGCCATTCGGACACTGCAACCCATGAGTCATTTATTTTATTGTTGTTTTTGTTTTTGAGGGTTGGCAGCCACTAGTGCGGCGAAGGCTCTGGCTGATGTCATGGCATGGGCTAATTACTCCGAAGAAGCGGTCTCTTGAAATGCTTTCCCTCGTGTTTTTTACATAGGAAACTTTCTTTCCTGAGTGGTACAATAAGAGGACTCAGAGCACCAGAAGAAACGTATTCAATTCTAGGTTTGCCGTTCCCCTCATACACTTATCCGTCATAAATCCCAACTGTTGTAACCACGAGGTTTTGGAGCTGGTAATCGGCACCATGTGCGCCGCCATGTAATGTAAGTTAATAGGATATCCCGCTCTCAGACGTGTGTCCGTAATTATGGTGGTTTATGTAGGGGCTGATTTCAGGTACGCAGGATCAGTGATGCCCCCACTCAGGTGAGCACCAGCCTTCCCATCAGCCAGTTACGACCCCGTATATACATATCAGGCCAGCTGGGGAACTTGAGGGGCCTGTGTGATAGACAACGCCGAGCAAATTTGATTAGCGCCAGCATTTCCTGTAATGTGAAAGGTCAGAACGCCCGATCGCTCCTGTGTCGCTACTAGTCATTTGATTTATGTTGGATATTTTCCTGTCCTCTATCCGACATGATAGATTGCCTGGGCTTAGCTCAATTTAGCCTTCTGCTTACTGGGACATAATCTTAATTAACGTATTGAGGGGGCGTACATACAGGTGGGCAAGGTGGCACTACTGCGGGTTTCCGTTTAAATGGTACGAATTCGAAGGCGTATTGGCAATATCTTATTCAATACGACTCTCATGCACGATTTATCAAATTAAAGCCTGCACAGGGAGAGTTGCATTTTCATGAAGACAAAGATGGATACGATCAACACAAATGAGCAGTCACATCTGAACAGACATATATTTCTTCAGTTCCAACAACAATACCTAGTACAACGTAGATTGACTAATACATCGGTTGTTTTCTTAAACATCACAAAGACAATGGGAAGCCTCGGGTCATCCATCGACGAGCAAGTTATTGACGACCAAATCCAAGCTCGCCTCCAACTGTTCAGCGAATCTCCCTGTGGCCGAGAGAATGACATACCCTTCTTTGTCGCCAACACGACCAAAGTCGTTCAACAGCATCAAAGATGGACACATGCATTGCCACACATTCATCCTTTCTACGGTTAGTAAAGCACCACCCTGCCAATTTCTAGCCTCGGGCTCCTCGATGACCTACCACACCTTGTCCCATAGCAGCAAAGCTAATGAAACTTCAGCGGTAAAATGCAATCCAGACAAAAGGCTCTTGCAATTGCTAGCTGACATGGGCGTCAACTTTGACTGTGCCTCTCTTGCGGAGATTGAGCAGGTGCTGGAAATGGGAGTTGATCCATCTCGTATCATCTTCGCTCATCCTTGCAAAGCACCATCCGCGCTAGACATAGCTGCGCGACGAGGAGTCAGGCGGACTACCTTTGACAACGCCGATGAGCTAGACAAGATCCAGAGAATTAGTCCCGGGATGGAACTGCTGCTGCGAATCTATGTACAAGATCATGGCGCCAAGGTCGCTCTGGGCACTAAATTCGGGGCTCCGATGGAAGTTACACAAGCATTGCTCGAAAAGGCTCGTCGAGCTGGACTGAAGATTATTGGGGTTAGCTTTCATATCGGTATGCGTCATTACAATATTCCGCTCTACTCTTTTGGCATCCATTCCAAGAGAAGTGTTTTAAGTGATTAACAAGGACTAGGCTCTGGAGCATCAGACCCCAATGCTTTCGTCACGGCGGTCCAAGACGCCAAGAGAGTCTTTGAAGATGGCAAAGCATTGGGTTTTAACATGCACATGCTTGACATCGGGGGCGGGTTCGAGGACAGCAATTTTGAGACCATGGCATATCCCCTGCGCAAGGCGATTATCCGTGAGTTTCCAAGTTCAGTTACGTTGATCGCTGAACCGGGGCGATTTTACGCCAGCGGGTTCTATACAATGGTCTGCCAAGTTATCGCGCGTCGAACACAGGCAGGCACGATGAATTCCACGCTACCAGATATGTTGTATCTAAACGATGGTCTATACGGATGCTTTAGCATGGGCTGGAGTGAAAACGGGATCTTTGTGCCGACTTTGGTTGTTCCAAGAGGCAAATCTAGCACGGTATCGCGCGAGTGGACGCCCCATAGATATTCCATCTGGGGGCCAACATGTGATAGTATTGATTGCATCTCGAAGGAGGTGGTCATGGACCAGGAGGTAAAGGTAGGGGACTGGCTGAAATTCCAGGATATGGGAGGTAAGCCGTTCCATTCACCTCCAGATTTCTGGAGATCAGATTGCCTGCTTGATGGAGAGATTATATTCGAGCTAATACTTCATCTAATAGCGTACACCATCTCTGCGTCCTCTCGCTTCAATGGGTTTCCCAATACCTATGCAATCATTCTTCTTGAGTAACCACTCGAGTTCGAATAGGGAATGGAAGAAACGAGGGGTTATAGAGCAGATGTTGGATTCTGTAGGTATGCTGTGATTTTTGTCTATTTCGGCTAGTGGGGAATTAACAAGCAAGGGTAATGCCCTGTCACTTGTTAAACATACTGAGTGGCGGTGGGACTTGCGGTCAATAGGTAAATATTTTTATGAACAGATACTTCATCCCCAATTATCCGATTCCCAACAATAAATTGGCCCAAGAATACAGATATGGATACCTTTGAGAAAGGGGTATCTTCTGCTGAAGTTATGGAAATCCATGATGTAAACATGATTACCATGGTGTTGGATGGCTGGGTAAAAGTCACTGCTCTACAAGCGAGCTACACAATCTCAGAGAAAAAGAGCCTAGGGCTTCAGCGATATTCCATTAACAACTCCGGCGGATTGCATCCAATATATACCATAGTAACTATTTCTCGCTTCGTGACGCAATACATTGACTCGTAGGAAAATAGGAAAATTGGGCACCAATAGAAGCAGATGAAATATGACATTGCTCACATGGTGTAAAGGACCTGATATAGCAGGGTAAGGAGCTCCACTCTGATATTGAATCCACCAGCAAACAGTTCCAAGCGGACTAGTTGCCGCCACTATCATGGCCTGGCTTTTTACACTCGTTGAAAATATGCTGCCAATCTTCTTCCGCCGATTGGCGTCTTTTCTGTATAAGCAAGGTGGAATGGCAATACGAAGTTCGGTTGGCATAGGGAGAGAAACTGACTCAATCACATAACTTTCAGAACAGAGGACCTAATCTTATATCTGCGTACCTTGTAGTCTCGTCCACTATCTCCCATTGAGCCCGATGGAATTCAGTCTGGGAGTTCGTACGGATAGGACGGACATTGAACGATGCACTGTGTGATATAACAGGTTATGTGCAAGGTAATTGTGGAGGCCGAGAACCAGAAATCCATTGTCTTTATTTTGAACTTACTTCTTTTATAAGAGTGAGGGAGGGACACTATACACGCAGTGGTCATGTAATCAATGCGTGATGGATTGAGGTGAATGCACCCACACATCTTTCTTTTTATTTATAACCTAAATGATTAACCAGACCCACCTATTTTACCAATATTAATCACTCACCGCTAATCAATCGCAGTCGCTGGGCAAGGTAACCTAGTAGACCGCCGTAGGGTCCTCGTATACGCAAACTATCTGTTTCCACGCATAGCAGCCAAACACGGCAGATCCACGACCTGAAAATTGACGCCTGCTTGCAGATTAGCCCCTCCAATAATTTGGCGTATAGGAAGACGTTTCCCATACGCAGAGTGCTTGCTTTAGTGGTTGGTCTTGGCTTAGGTATATTGGTCTCCATACGGAAAGGAAATTAACTGAAAATGTCGACATAGTTTCTTGGACAGTAATCTGAAGCTTCCAATTCAGAAGCAATGCCGTCAAGTCGTTGTTATCTTAGACTCAGTCCTCGTACATCACTGAACATATCCAGGACCCTCCATGGCTGACAGCACAGATTTTGTCAGGGCTGCTCCGCCATCCACCGAGGCCCAGCAACCTCCCATGTACGACAAAGTATGTGCCAATTAGCGGGTAACAAACGTGTACACCAGACGAATTTAGAACAAAATCATACAGGCGCGGCGTGATGCGGCGCTGTACCACGCAGGAGGCCCCCGCAACAACCTGCGGCTTCAGCTGAAGCTGCAGGGCGGAGATCCATTCTTCAGGCCCGAATTCATCACCAAAAACAATTCCAGCCCCCTTGCCGCTCCGAATGGGCTTCAAGAGATACTTTTCCCGTAAGCCCGGGGATCCCATTGAGAGCAGGACGAGCCGTTCTAGATCCCGCGATCCTGGAAGAATAGTCTCCGCAATTCCTTGATCAAGAGTCTGCGCCTGGGCACGAGTGATCACACTGCGTGCTACTAGTGACGGGATTTCCTGTTTCAGTATACCCAACATCCGCTTGTCGTGTGTTAGCAAGATCGATCGCATGTCGTTGAAACAACGTAGACTGATCTGACGCAACATCTCGGGCTCCAGCGCAAGAAGCTCCGATTGATGTAGCTCAAGGCCGACTTGTTGGATCACCTCGACCACCTCGCCCTTACTTGTTAGCAAGGCAGAAGGGCCATGAAGAAATTTATCAGTTTCTTCCACTACACAGCATAGCCTATACCCGTCACTGCTGTGAGTGGGAGGCAATAGCCTAAGCTGCGCCGGGGTGATCAACCTAGGTGTGAGGCCAAACCGTTGTCGGACAATGTGAAGGAGCATGTGGATATCCATCCCTTTTCTTTCGCCCTTCAGCAGGTGCAAGGGAAGGTCCGGTTGGAAAAGGCTGATTGTTCCATCGAGTAACTGGTGAACATTAGATACCGATAACATTCGACGAGATATAAGTCGTGGATATGTTCAATGATTGTTACCTTTGCCGGATCTGTTGCACATTTTAAGCCATTGTGCCCTACCCCCATATCTTGCAGGCCCTCGTGTGCAAGCGTTCCAAGAACGAACGCGTTGAAGGAAAAACGAGCGTTAATCTCGGTGATTCGGAAATTTTCCATTTTCCTACCATTCTCGTCCATTTTGTCCTCAACAAGGAAGTCTGGTCTCCACGAGCCACGACACTCGCGGTACCTCAAAATCTTATTTTTGGAGACCTGGTCATCTATCCACTATGCCACAGCATCAGTGCAAGTTCAAAGCCAAGCAGGACATAAATCATCTTTAACCCGGCGGTGCACAGATATTAAACGTACCCGCAACAGGTCTTCTTCCTGCTTCTCGAGAGGCATTCGCTCTGGAAAGCGGGCATCCCGATCCGTCCACCACCTTTCCACAATATCCGTGATGCCAGCTGTCAAAGCCTCATGCAGCTCTGCGAGCTGCTGTTGGTGCATCTCATGAATAAGGATGGGCCGAGGACACGCAGTTTCATGAGCTGCTCCAGGCCATAAATTAACGGGGCATCGCTGCAAAAGGCTGGCTTGAAACCTCTCGTGCTCTAGTGTATAGACAATCTTTTCGGCGTCATATTCTGCGACAAGTTTATGACGGTCGGGGCGGGACCCGACGTGTATCTGCTGAAACATGTGGGAAGTTGGTTTTTTCATCTGAAACCTATGATGGAAAATGTCAAACAGGATAGCAACATACCCTATGTATAATACTTATATGTGGCAATCGTGACTTACCAAATGCGGAAAGCCCGCTATCATGCAAATTGCAGAGTAACCCTTGCAGAAATTATCGATCGTACAGTAACAGTAGCCAAAGCCACTTGATCATTTTACTAGTCGTGTTACCTACTCAAAGCCACAAACTCTGTGCGGGATGGATGTAATCTGGCCAATCAGAGACCGGCGTGCTCTGGAGTCGATCTTTCGAATTAGGAACCCAAGGGCAATAGGTAGTTGGATGCAGCAAGTGCAGGCGTACCGATGCATAATGGAGATCATTGGCAAATAAACAGGCTTGTATAAAAATGTTGGCTCTGTGACCAATCCACAATTTAATTGTCTTCTATTCTAAGAGGGTCTAGGCTCCGTCAGAAATATGGTGGATCTCCATATCGATTTCTGGTATTTACCAAGTATATCTTAGGACATCGATATCATACACCTCACATACAAGTGCATATTACTCATTATCAGCGTGTCCTGCAAAATTGACTATTTAAGTTATGTAGAGAGTCTGATACTACCATTTATGATTCCCATACAGTATCGGTCACTGATTTCTGTCAAGCTCCGCTATTCACTGCGCTAGACGTGCGGATAGAAATGAATGATCGGCTTGGCAATAGGATTGGCTTGTATGTGGAAGAATGCTTAGTGGCCCGTCCCATTCCAGATGCGCCATTTCCATAATCTGACGTGCATCCATTCTTTCAAGGAGTACTTCCTGACATTTTATCAACTCCTGGCGTTGGAATGTGCGGCAATCTAAGAGGGCGTCAGCTGCACGGAGCTTACTTTTATCAGCTGAGAAGTGAGCTACGTTTACCTACATTGGCTTGTAATAAACGGCCAATTCTTGAAACTGTCATTTGAGCTAGTCTTGCACAATTTTAATTCATATTTGCTAAAGCTAAACCGAAATACCAAAATATCCCCACTGGTGTATCCGGGATGGGTATGTGGGCTCTACCAAACAAAACATTTTACGGAGACAACAGGACAACAGTAAGTTGCGGCTGCAAGGAGTGTAAAACTCCTCAATCAAGCACGCATATCGAAGCGGTCTATTTGAGTTTAATTCCCCAGTATTCCACACCTTCCGCAGGATACTGATATGGCGAGCCGGCGAATATGTTGAAGTATTTTCGGAGACATTCCTTTTTCAACACCTTGTCCGAAGCGGTCTGGGGGACTTGTTCCTCTTCATGGAGGATCCGTAGCATTGTCGGTAGTCTGTATGGGACCAGACCTCGAGCGGTGAGGTCTCCCCTTATCATTCGAAGGTTGATACTGCCTGACTCTCCAAGCCTTTCTTGCTTTGGAAGTCGGATAAGGGCAGCCAGCTGTCCGCCAGATTCATGGTCCAAGATTGGGAGTACATAGGCTTCAGATACGTATGGGAGATCCAAGAGATGCTGCTCGAGATCTAGAACTGAAACCATATGCTCCTGGATTTTAACCCCTTGACATTCGACATTAGCTCCGCCATCATGGAGATGTGTTCAGCAAGCATTTCTGTAAACGTACAATCGCACGATATCCGGCCATCAAAAAAGTAATCTTCCCCAACACGGTGAGCACGGTCACCGGTTTTGTAGAACCCTTCATGGTCAAACGCAGCGTGTGTAGCAGCTTTGTCCTTAATATATCTTTGCCCAGTTAAGTAACGCACCCTTGAAGGATACCAGAGAATCAACACTCTTACCCAATGAACATAGACGGACTTTTCAGGAGAATCTCTCCATGGTCACCTTCAGACAGCTTGACCACAACCCCTGGAAAAGGCCTTCCGATACACCCCTAATGAAGATCAGAAACAGCCTCGGGTCGTGCGGGTGCCCCGGGATGGGGTGGGGGAGTTCAGAGAAACTGGGACGCACATTCATAAACTCCAAACCTGCTGAAGTGGCCATTACGCCACCACCCATCTCAGTGAGCCCATATGCATTAATAATGGGCACTTTGGTCAGGTCTGTAAAGAACTTCCGTACCGAAGGACTGAGTACCGAACCACTTGTGAACGCAGTTTCTAGACATTTAGCTCCGTCAACGTACTTCTGTCGACACTCAGAGGGTAGATCACGGATATTGTCCATATAGTATTCCCTCAAGCCCCTAAAAAGAGTCGGAGACAGGCTCATTTCCGTGACTTTGCCCTCACTTAAAATCTCCCAAACACGTGCCGGCCCGGATCCATCTTTCATGAGGTGTAGTTGCTCACCATTAAGCACACTAGACACGGGGCCCGTTGCGCCTCCTACCCAATGCTTAGGACTGGAACCCAGGTAAAGGCTGGCTGGGTGAGTTGGTTCCTCGGTATAATAGAAGAGTTGGCGGGGGAGAAGGACGCCTTTCGGCAAGCTGGTTGTGCCAGATGTAAAAATAACCAGGCAAGCAGTGGTTGGAGGCAAAGTCAACTCTTCATCAATTTCCAATCTGGACCAGGGGCTTGACTCTGGTCCCGCTCTTGAGATCGGAACGATACTGATCTTTTGGGCGGCCCGGTTTTCGGCATACCTCTGAATCGCGACTGCCTTGTCGTAAGAACCCGTGTCCGACAGGACACAAGTTGCGTCGGTTTTATTCAGAAAGTATAGTGCTTCCTCTTCTTTAATTGTCGTCGCTGGGAACGTTTTGTTAATATTTATGGATGGACCTGTATAAACCTCTCCACTTACCCAAAGGGACACAAATACCACCTAGAGCCACAATAGTGAAAAAGCACACAAGATGGTGGTATCCGCTGAACGCCAGAAATGCTATAGATGCCGCCTCTTTCCGTAGGAGACCTTTGTCGTCAAATAAGGTGGCTGGGAGCTGCTCTCGTATGACTTGACGGAAATGCATGACATCGCTGATCAAGTCTTTGTAACTCGCATTGATTCCATATTCATCGTGGATTATGGAACCAGGTCTCTCTTGGGAGAGTCGGCTAAGTCGAGTGAATATGGGATCGTTTGGAAACCCCTGGGTTCCGTATGCGATGTTTTCCTTGAAGCCAAACATCACTATTCGGTGTGAGTCTATCGTTGTACGTGAAAATTTGGGTAACCGAATGATGTACTCGGATCAAGTCGATTGGATGGTCTTGATTGGATTTTCCAAAAAACGGTGAGGTGCACACTAATCGGAAAAGGCGTAGGTGCCAGACCAATGAGTATTGTGTGGTCGAAGTGGTCAAGGGATGACCAAACCTCCAGAAGCAAAGGGAGGAAATGGGACGGAAGGCAAGAAAGGTTCTGGAAAGCGCGAGCACGGCAACCACCGTCAATTATATATAATCACAATGCGTCATTCCATTACTGAAGAACCTAGATTCGCAAGACCTTGCAGATCAATTTTCTTCAGTAATTGAAGGCTGGTGCGGCATGGTGGAGCGTCTTGATTCCACTTTTGTGCTGCCAGACGAGAACGTAATTTTCAATGAACTTGCACAAAATGCCGACGGATCAATGAACAGAAACATAAAGGCCAGAAAAATGGAGAAAACAAGGGAAGTATTGGCGCTTGAATTGCAGCAGGCTCATCATTAATTACTACTTCCGGCATCAATGCAGCCACCGGTGGATACTGCAGTTTACTTGTGGCGATGGGCGAAGAGCCCCGGGAATGAGGAGGTTGTCCCGCTGCTCCCGCCCTTCCACACCACACACCGATGTTCATGTGGGAAATGAGTTTAAAAATCACAGACTAAATTTCGTAAGTTACACTCGGAGCCAGCCACGTCTAGATGCCGCAGCAGGTATTTCAGTAAATATGCATCATGAATCAATAATTACTGACGATCTCCAAGAAGCATAAACATGGCTTCCATTTGTCTGATTGCTCAGGTTACAGGGTGCCCGCAGGAAGAAGTAAAAATGGAGAGAGGTAAGGAAGGGCGATCACTAATCTCCCCTATGGTTCGTGTATTGCTTTTTCTGTACTACATTAACTCATTAACTTGCTACATGATATCACTTAATCAGGAGGGAAAAGTTTGATCATAAATTACCTGTATGTACACACAAGTACTACTTTGTCAATAGAACCAGTTTCTTCATGCCAGGGGCCATCTCTGGCCTTGGTAGTAGGCGGCAAACCACCAGCCCTGAAATCCTATTTAATTTCACTCAAATTTCCAGTTGTTGAGGGTCTCACGCGCAAGACATCTTGGGACCCCTGAGCATGGACAACTTCCACAGTGAGAATAGGGGAACTATACCAACAGGCACTAGGTGGCGCTCTTCTAAATGGTTCAACATCGTGATCGTTCTTATCGCTTTGTTTAGCGGTTCGTCCTTGTCCATACCTATTAGTATAAATAACTGATCAACATTGTCCAGAGACCTTTCTCTATGGATTCATCGTCCCAATATTAGGACCTATGATCAAAGATCGCCTACACATAGATCCATCTCGCATACAGCAGCTCACCTCTGCTGTCCTTGCCCTTCATGGGGCTATTTCCGTTATTTCGGGCCCTATTATTGGACATTTCGCTGATAAAATGGAAAGCAGCAGAGTACCGCTCCTTGTCTCAATGCTTGGGTGCATCATCGGCACTCTAATGGTCGCAAGTGCTCATTCCGTTACTGTACTCTTGGTCGGCCGATCTCTGCAAGGCATATCGGAGTCTATGGTGTGGATTGTCGGTTTCACAACTGTGACAGAATTAGTTGATAACGACCAAATGGGCTCAGTTATGGGGCTCTTGGCGTCCTTTGTCAGCACCGGGATGCTCGCCGGGCCTATAGCCTCTGGGTTTTTGTTGGAGACTACAGAATACTGGGTCATGTGGTCCGTACCGCTCTTGGTTTTGGCTTTGAACCTTCTCGCACGCCTAATTATGGTCGAGCCCTCGCCGGAGAAAGTCTGCGAGCCTGAGTGTATGGGAGAGACTACGAGCTTGCTGTCTGATCAGGAAGAGACACAAAATTTGTCCACTGGCTCGAACTTTTGGAAGGTGATGCTGTGTGACAGCCGCGTGATTACAATTTTGCTACTGAGCATCACGAGCACAACTGTTAGCACGAGCTTCCATGCAACACTGCCTCTCCATGTGCAAGAGGCATTCGGATGGGGTCCCAGCATGACTGGACTCCTCTTTGCGTGTCTCATCTTGCCAGTCCTTTTCGTCGGTCCTCTTGCTGGCTGGGTCCGCGATAAGTTTGGGGCACGATTCCCTGCTACGGCCTCATTAGTTCTTCAAGCTGGGATGCTGGATGTAGCAGGAGTTTCTGGAAACAAACATTTCCCATGGGCTAGCACTCAACCGATTGGACGAGCACTTTATGTTGTCTCGCTTCTTGCTGTCGGTACACTGAGACCATTTATGTCGGCTGTGGGACCCGCCGAGTTGTCTAGTGGGTTTCAGATCTCAGTACATTAATATTGTGGTGCTAATGTGAATTTGCAGCTATTGTAAAAGAATATCAAGCCAGAACCCCAGGCATCTTTGGCCCCCAGGGTGGCCTTTCTCGAGTGTTTTCTATGATTGACGTTTCTGTCAGTTTGGGAATGATGCTCGGTCCAATCATTGGAGGCTTTCTTACGGAAGTAGTCGGCTATACTTATATGAATTGCGCCTTTAGTAAGTAATTCAACATCCCCAATGTGGCCTGTACTAACTCTACAAGGCCTCCTTTATATTATCGTCGCTGCCCTTGTATTTACCTTTGTAGGACCCAGACGCATAGGACCCAGATACACGGACGGAAATTTCGTCTACAAGGCACCCCCGGAGGCGGAGATACATACCATATACACTAGGATATCTATAGAGGCGTGATGGAAATGTGGACTCCCACACATTTCCATGCAAGTTTGAGATCTAATTAAAAATTGAGTATTAATCCAAGAACAAACTAAAAACGTGAGAAAGTGTCCCTATATACTCTTCACCCATACATTCGAACCTGCCTTTAGAACAGCTTACGGAGTAGGATAATATTTAGGCCCTTGTTCCTCACCATGGGTACTCAGTGAGCCTGATCAATTGGTAAAATAATTCTGTTTCCCAATTAGGGCTCCCTAAGGGCATATACATAATTTGTGATAGTGTTCGCGATTCAGACATTCCCTGGGACGTGTTGCTAGTAACTACATAGTCCATGTTTGTATAACCAGAAGTCGAAATTCATATTCCTAATAAGACCCAAAGTGACATTTGATACGTGAACCTCGCTCGCCTTCTTGATCCAAGAAGATGCGATCTTCGGTGAATTCCGGATTAGTACTTGATAATATCTGGTCCCAGGCTCTATGCTCTCAGGCATGCTATTTCTCGCTCCCGGGAGCAATAACTGTAACTTTCAGAGGAGCTACAGCTCCCGCGTACCATAATCTGGCTGGCTCTTGGCTCAACCGAAGGTAGGAAAGGTAAATCTGACACCGTCTTGGGCTTCGCAGTGGCGTCACAGTGATTCTAAAGTCGCGTGCCACGAGGACAGCCTAACAATGGGTGTGGCAGTTAGGCCACGACAGGCCTTGACGAGGCTCTAAGTTCGTTTCAGGAAGTGGGCCACTCTACGTATACATACAGGGATATAACTTATATGGTTGCTGTAGCCTGCATATTGTTTGCATTGCGAGGCGTCAGGGTAAATCCATCCGTCCATCTATCCATACTGTATAAATCAAATCCAATAATCTGTAGACGACATCAATTTAACCCTGGTATGTTCACCTCCGATATCATCCCTGTTCTTCGACACATCATATCGAAATGCCTCCGATTTGAGTGTCGTGACCACCATTTATGCAAAATTAAAATTTCCCAGGAGCTGAAGCTTGACTAGAGCCTCCAATGCCGGCTGACTGGAACTAAAGATCGACAATGTTTACTAATCCTGTCATTTGATAGGCTACTAGCCCATAGAGCTCTGCGACGATACTTTCTTCTGCACAGACTGAAGTGGAAGACGATATATCAATTTCAAAGCCAATAGAGTAGGGCTTTCTACACACTAACCGGCAATCAACCCTTTTCTTCCGTCCCCAAAAAAGTCATTTGGTATAGCATCCTTAGCATTCACAGCAGAATGAAACCTAAAAATTCTCCCGTGCTTGCTATTCCACGTTTCATAAGTGCCCTAAGCAGGTCGGGCGGATAGTATATATAGCGCGAAATGAAGGTTCTAGTATTGTTAGCACAGAACAATTTCAAATTATTATGATTTCGACATATATAAGCCCTATTATCCTTCCGAAGGAGCTTATCTATCTAGTCATATATCTAGTCGAAATTTGCTTTTCTTTCGTTAGAATATGAAAAGAGGGGTCAAATATCGGGAGATAACTTATACTTATAATCAACCTCCTATACGATGAATATATCGCAATATAAGTGGTTATTAATATTACTCTCGACTAAGAGTCTAATATAGGATAGTAATAGAGCAATTCTAATACTAGTACTAATAAAAAGAACGCGGCTATACCTTACGAGTCCCTCTAGACGACTATACGGTCTATAAACTACGTTAAGAACTCGCTTCTCGGATGATCTATTAGTCTTTACGTAAAGCCCCGTTCCCTACGTACTAGTAGTGTGATACTTATAGTATTTCTATTTATATCGTTCTCCTACTAGGATATAGGAAAAGAATATATCTAGAGAGTAGTACGTAAGCTAATACTAGGTATCTAAATATAAACGCTTATTCTAGGTTAAATCATTTAGGTACTATAACTACTTAAGGCTAAGTTCTTTAAGAGAAACCGAATTAAACTTCGAGGATTCTTTATTTAGATAGATATATACCTCGATATAAATAGTACTAAGATATCTAATAAAGCCGGTAAAGTAATTTTTATATTAACTTACGTGGCTAGGTATAGGATTAGTTCGAATCTTATATCTATAATTATTATAGAAAGAAATCTAAAGAATAGTCGGATACTACGATAAGTATCTTTAGTAAGTACTATAATTTCTATTAATATCTCGAGAATACGTTTAGAGATATTAACGCTATAAAAATAGCCTAGAAAAAGTTATAACGAATCCGATAAACTAGAACTATATTAAGCTATACCTCTAAGTTCTTATAAATTATCTTTTACTTAGACTTATTAGATAGGGCGTATCTTCCTTACTTCAAAGCTAGGATAAAATCCGATATTAAGGACAAACTAGTATAAATAGATTAACCGGAAATATTTAATTAGCTTATTAAGGTTACGGTTAAGATTAATAACTATAATAGTAAGCGAAGGAGGGAATAATACGAAATAGAACTATAGAAGCGTAAAAAGATATATAGCTTTAACCGGTTCGGTAGACGCTGCGAAAGGGTAATACTATAAGATAATAATCTATATAGCCCGAAGTTAATAGAGTTAGATACTACTTATAATAAGTAAAAAGAACGTTATAATAAGAATCTTTACTTTACCTATAAAAAACTAGGATATTACGCGAGGGAATATAAATGTTATATACTAGCTAACTAGTCATAGTTAGGTTAGATAGGTTCAGGGTATACTTATCTTAATACTCCTCGAATAGTCTAATATTAATGATCGGATCGTAACTAAGCTATTGCCGCGTAGGGCCTTACTATAGCCTAAGTCCTTTTAAGCGATTAAGGAACTAATACTAGGTAGAGCGCCGAGTAGATCTATACCGGAGTATTAGTCTACTTATAAGTATTATTAAGTTATAATTAAGTAAAGAGTTATAGTAATCTAAAAGGTAAATATAAATAATAATATATAATTAAAGACGAAGAACTAAACTAAGTATATAAGGGAGTATCCTTATATATCCTTTATTCCTACTCCCTAAGATATACTCCCTAGAGTATATCTACTAGAGTTATAGTAACTATCTACTCCTTCTTAGTATTAGTAGATAGTTATAGTTATATAGTAGTTTAATCACTTAAATAGGTATATTATATTATTAATATATCGAGGTATATATATACTAAACTTTAGTCCGGCTTAGGGCGGATTATACTCTTACTTAGTAAGCTATACGTAATCTAATAATAGATCCGCTAGTTAGCTCTCGATAGCTTATTATCGTACTTAGTAGGTTATTACTAATTAGTAACGGATAGGTTTATAATATTACCTCTCCTCTTCTTAGGAGTTTCGTCCCTAAGACTTATAAAGCTACGATTCCCCTCTTTAGTAAGTAATACCGTTTATTTTTCTTTTCTTTATTTTTTTTTCTTTAGCTATATATCTATTATATTATACTAGTTAATAACGAAACCTATAAAAAAATAGACTTACTTAATATAATAAAATATTATAAAATAATTTAATCGCTAATATCTCTTATAAATTCTATTCTTCTCGTTTTATTAATTATATAATAGATCTAAAGAGTTATAACTATACTAAGTATATTTATAGCGGTTATTATTATATATATTAGTTCTATAGTAATAAAGAATAGTAACGCGTTCTTTATAAGTCTACGAAAATTAACCTAGAGATTAAAGAGATTAAAAAGTAGTAAATAAAATTAATAGCTAAAATACCTTATTTTAAAAAATAATATTAAATATTTAAAAATCGGAGTAGTAAGATATTAAATTATAACTTCTTTATTATAAAGTAGTTAGATACTAAGGATTCTTTTAGTACTAAGGATCTTATTAAGCTAGATTATCTTATCGATAAGTACGATATTTAGATTCTTACTACTATATTAGAGAATCCTACTCTAATCTAGATATTTAGTCCTTTATCTCTTTTTATCTTAAAGAGGATAGATTTATCTTTTCTTATTAGTAATTCTTTCGTACCTTCCGCTATATAAGGGTCTTTTTCGTTTATTAATAATACTATTAAATAAGCTAGTAGTAGCCTATTACGCACTAGCTAACTAGTCACAGTTAGGTTAGATGGGTTTAGGGTATACTTGCCTTAATACTCCTCGAATAGTCCAACGTTAATAATCGGGTCTTAACTAAGCTAATGCCGCGTAGGGCTTTATAGTAGCCTAAGTCCTTTTAAGCGATTAAGGAACTAATACTAGGTAGAGCGCCGAGTAGATCTATACCGGGGTATTAGTCTACTCGTAAGTATTATCAAGTTATAATCAAGTAAAGAGTCATAGTAATCTAAAAGGTAAATATAAGTAATAATATATAATTAAAGACGAAGAACTAAACTAGATATATAAATAAGTGTCCTTATATATCCCTAAGTTCTTCCTATATAGAATAGTAGATAGTAGAATAGTAGAATCGCTTTAGTAGATTCTACTAATCTACTTACTACCCTTCTACTACCTATATAATTATATAATACTAAGTAGTAGTTATCTAGTATATAGAGTAATCTATATAATAGAAATCCTATATAGGGTAGATCCGCTTAAGGCGGATTATACTTTTATTTAGTAAGCTTATACGTAATCTACTAATAGATATCCTAGTTAGCTCTCGATAGCCTATTAATATATCTAGTAGGTTATTATTAATTAGTAATAAGTAGGTCTATAATATTACCTCCCCTCTTCCTAGGAGTTTCGTTCCTAAGACTTATAAAGCTATAGTACCCCCCCTTTAGGTAGGTAATAGCTTTCTTTTTCTTAAAATAATACGTCCTTATTATACCTAAACGAAAGGCTAACTCTA